TGCCCCAGCACTCGGGGATCGAGTGGCCCGCGAGCGCCTAGGCCACCACCTGCAGAGCCTGAGGGCAGCCTTCTTGGGCTGCCTGACAGACGTGCGACAGGCACTGGCTGCACCTCGGCTGGCTGGGAAGGAGGGCCCTGGCCTGGCAGATCTGCTGGGCAATGTGGCCAGCTCCATCCTGAGCCACATCAAAGCCTCTCTGGCTGCTGTGCACCTCTTCACCGCCAAGGAGGTGTCGTTCTCCAACAAGCCCTACTTCCGGGTACAGTCTCCCCTTGAGCCCTTGGTTGCTCATCCTGCTAGTTGGCCCTCCAGTACCCTTTTACCAGTGCTTGGGGGATGGGGGACAAGTTACCAGGGCACACTTGGTCCTTGCTCCAGGTACTCTGGAGTGGTTGAAAGTTCTCTTAAGGCATGATCTGGAGGGTGGGGAAGCTCCAAGCTGGGCTAAGAATAGGAGAGTGATAGGGTCTCCAATCCTGGCTCTGCCTCCTCCCCAGATAGGGGAGCCATTGTGGGGTACTTGGGATGCAGGTTGAAGCCATCCCTTGGAGAGGGGCAGGGCACTTAGGGTCCATGCAGAGGGTCTGGAGTAGCCCCAACCTGGCAGAGGGAGCCTACTGTGTACCTGGGCCCCTCTTCCTCACAGGGCGAGTTCTGCAGCCAGGGTGTCCGTGAGGGCCTCATCGTGGGCTTCATCCGCTCCATGTGCCAGACAGCCCAGAGCTTCTGTGACAGCCCTGGGGAGAAGGGTGGTGCCACGCCTCCCGCCCTGCTCCTGCTGCTCTCCCGCCTCTGCCTGGACTACGAGACGGCCACCATCTCCTACATCCTTACCCTCACTGATGAACAGTTTCTCGTGCAGGTGACCTGCTAGCTCAGCCGGGCAGGGAATGGTGGTGCCCTGTGCCCACCCTGACCTGCACCTCACCCACTCTGTGCCCAGCTTCTGGTTGGCAATAGCCCCTAAGCCGCCCTCGGCACCTACTGCCTCTGTCCTCTGCCCCTTACTTAGGACCAGTCTCCAGTTACACCTGTGAGCACACTGTGTGCAGAAGCAAGGGAGACGGCACGGCGGCTGCTGACCCACTACGTGAAGGTGCAGGGCCTGGTCATATCACAGATGCTGCGTAAGAGCGTGGAGACCCGGGACTGGCTCAGTACCCTGGAGCCCCGGAACGTGCGTGCTGTCATGAAGCGGGTGGTCGAGGACACAACGGCGATCGATGTGCAGGTGCTTCCCCAGACTGGCCTGCGGAGCCTGGTCCTGGTGCAGTCCAGGGTGCTGGGGATCCACCCTGCAAAGGTAGAGACAGAAGGGACCGACTGGGCAGTGCCTGTATCTATGCCTTGTACTTCCTCAGCCCTGAGTCGTGGCATCGTCGTCCCCATTTCACCTGTGGGGAAGCTGGCTCCAAGTCCCCCAGGAAGTTGGGCAGAGCTGATGCTGAAGATTGGGCCTCAGACCAATTCTGTGCCCTGCCTTTGGCCCCATCCCGGTTCTATAAATAGTGACTTGTACCAACTAGATACCAGGCCCAGTAGTGATTACCCTGTGATTCTTGTAACAAATGAGTAGTAACGTAAGGCACCTTCAGTGGGGCCTGGGCACCAGGGCAGAGGTGCGCTGGAGGTTCCCCATGCCCTGGCCTTAGTGTAGTACCCCCTTTTGCCACCAGGTGGGCCTCCTGTACGAAGAGGGTGTCCGCAAGGCCCAGAGCAGCGACTCCAGCAAGAGGACCTTCTCGGTGTACAGCAGCTCCCGGCAGCAGGGCCGCTATGCGCCCAGCTATACACCCAGGTCTGGCAGGCTGGGGGAGCCCCATGGGAAATGGACAAAAGAGGACGGAGGCAAAGGCTGGGCTCTGATTCCTTGTCTCCCCCCATCCAGTGCCCCCATGGACACCAACCTCCTGAGCAATATCCAGAAGCTGTTCTCTGAACGTATTGATGTGTTCAGCCCTGTGGAGTTCAACAAGGTCCAGAGTCCCCACTGACCTTGACTTCCAGGGGACCCAGGGGAGGTTGGCTGGATCTGCTTCGTATCAGCCCAGGGAACCTTAGGGACCCTGTCTGACACACACACCCCCATCTCTCTCTGGGGCTGTCTCTAGAGGGTTCAGAGCCTTGCCACCACCATTCCTCGGCCCCCTGCCCAGACTGAGGTCCCTGGGTGTGGGTACTGATCTATTGCAGTATGCCTCCTTGCCTGTGTCCTTGTTCTGGGTCCTCCCCAGGAATTCCTATTCACACCATGATCTTTGACCCCCCCAGCCCACGCTCAGGGATCTGGTGTCCTTAGTAATGCTTTTCTCCACCGCACATTCATGCTGTCCCCCATCTCTGTACCTGTCCCCTTTCTGATGTTGGTACTGACATTGTCCCTCCTTACCTGAGCCTGAGACTTTGTGCCGTATCTCAGCTACTGGCACCTGATGCTATCCTGGGCCCTTCTTAGAACGGTGTGCCCCTCACCCACCCCTGGTGTCACTGGCTCTACCCCTGCGTCTCTGCCTGCAGGTATCAGTGCTGACCGGCATCATCAAGATCAGCCTGAAGACGCTGCTGGAGTGTGTGCGTCTGCGCACTTTCGGGCGCTTTGGGCTGCAGCAGGTGCAGGTGGACTGCCACTTCCTGCAGCTCTACCTGTGGCGCTTTGTGGCCGATGAGGAGCTCGTACACTTGCTGCTGGATGAAGTGGTGGCCTCAGCTGCCCTGCGTTGTCCAGACCCAGTGCCCATGGAGCCCAGTGTCGTCGAGGTCATCTGCGAGCGCGGCTAGCCCCAGCCGGTGCCACGCACGATCCTGCGGTGCCCCTCACCCCACCCCCCATCCCAAGCATTCCCGGCTTTGGGTCTCTGTGGCCTTTCCCTGCCTGCTGGTGTCAACATCAATTAATAAAAGTGGCCTCCTCTTCTCGCATGTTGGGGCGGGACTTGCTGGGGGTGGAGTTCTGGGGCTGAGGCTCCTGAGGCGCCCGTGTCGGACCCGCCCCCAGGAGCCGGTTGGCTGGTGAGCTGGGCCCAGGATGGGCCGGGGGCGGATCCATGTAAAGATCTCCGGACCCGAGCGGTGGCTGTCCGAAGTCAGGGTCGGGACAGGTGCAGGCGCAGCGGGGCGGATCCTCTCATTGTGTTCCGAATTCATGTGGGGAATGGGGCGGGCTGTGTTCCCCTGACCGACTTTTGTGATCCCCATCGCCCCCGACGGAGCGGAGATCATGGCCCCTCAGGGCCACCAGGCCCCGCTGGAATTCGGGGGCCCCCTGGGTAATGGAAATATCTGGAGGCAGAGAGGGAGAGCTGGAGGGGGTGAGCTACGAGTGGGGGCGGGACAGAATCTGCGAGTGAAAAGCGTTGGGGTGCCCGGAGACTGAGGATACCCGGTGGTGTAGGAGAGGGGTTGCTGAGGAAGGCTTCGGATGCAGAGGTTGCACAGCCGGCGGTTTGTGGAGTGGGGGTGCTGGGAGTTAGGGGAGCACGAAGAGGTCTTCGTGGGGAGTCTGGGGGTCGGAAACCAAGATGGAAGTCAGGGAGGAGGATTGAGAGGCAGGGAGAAACTCGGGGCTGACGGCTTGGATACAAAGACAGGCGATGAGAATTCTGAGGGAGCCCTGGAGACAAGGGTGCCTGTGGGGGGTCGGGGGAGAGCTGGGAAATGGACACCCGACGCGATGGCCTCCTCTCGCAGGCGCCGCGGTGCTGATGCTGCTGCTGCCTGCCACCATGTTCCACCTGCTCCTGGTGGCTCGCTCAGGCCCGGCGCGCCTCCTGGGCCCAACCCCCTACCTGCCGGGCCTGGAGATGCTGTGGAGCCAGCGGGCGCTGCTGCTATGGCTCACCTGGTTCGGCCTGCAGGTGGCGCTCTACCTACTGCCGGCGCGCAAGGTGTGGGCTCTACTCTGTGACGCGCGAAGACCCGAGGGGAGGCCTTGGCGAGGGAGAAGGCACCTCCCCTCCAACCCTGATCAGAACCCCCTTGTGTCCTCAGGTGGCGGAGGGGCAGGAATTAAAGGACAAGAGTCGTCTGCACTACCCGATTAACGGTGCCTTGGGAACGGGCCCACATGCTGTAGTCCCACAGATGGGGGTGAAGCTCCAGGTCTAGCGGGAAGGTCCATGGAAATTAGCTCCCTGACCCCATGCTTCCTTATGATCCACCGCCCCTTTCCCCAGGGCAGATGCAGGAGAATTTTTCCATGCCCTTTGTCCCGACACCCCTAACCCATTTGCTGCTACTGTGTGAACTAGAGCAGTGACCAGGGCCAACCTCTGAATGGGGTGGGGTTGGGGGACGGCACAGCCCCAGGGCTTATTGTGTGTTGTGGTTCAGGCTTCCAGGCCCTGGTGCTAACAGCCCTGTTGGTGGGGCTGGGAGTGTTAGTGGGGCTGCCCTTGGGAGAGCTCTCGGAAATGCTCCTGCCCTTGGCATTTGTGGCCACACTCGCTGCTTTCATCTTCAGCTTGTTCCTCTATATGAAGGCTCAGGTAGCCCCTGCTTCAGCCCTGGCACCTGGGGGCAACTCAGGTGAGAAGGGACTCAGTGGGGTGGGGATGAGGCAGAAGGGGGTGCCTGCCTACACCTTTACGTCCATTCTTTTCCAGGCAATCCTATTTACGACTTTTTCCTGGGACGGGAGCTCAACCCTCGTATTTGTTCCTTTGACTTCAAATATTTCTGCGAACTGCGGCCTGGCCTCATCGGCTGGGTATGCTGGGTCTGATCTGGCTTTGGGCCAGGGGGAGGGCTGGGGTGGGTGCAGGACAGGGCCAAAATTGTGTAGACATCAATCATTCTTTCATCCCGTGAACATCTGTTGAGTCCACCATCTGTTGAGCCCTGGGTTCTGCTCTAGAAACTGGGAGACAAAAGAGAAAAAAATTACAGGAGAAAACAGAAATGTCTGCCTTATAGAGTCTACATTCTAGTGTGGAGGACAAAAAACTCAGTAAAGTATATTATAGTGTCGGGGTGACAAGTGCTGCGGAGAACAAAGCAGAGGTAACCAGGGGAACCTGGTTAAATAGCATGCATGCACAGAATCTATTTTGAGGAGGGTATGTCCGTGCAGTTTCATGGACAAGGAAGGCAGTGCAAAACCTGGAACTGCTGCTCATTGGGTTTAGTAAACTGTCACTGGTGACCTTGAAAACATTTGCACTGTGTTCTTGTGTTCTTTGATTATAATCAGCCATGCTGGACTGTGGCCAATATTACCCAAAGAGACTCTTGGGCAACATCTCTCCCTCTTTCTCTCTCTCTTTTTTTTTTTTAAGAGACCTTTTTGTAATAGGGTACATACACTTGCCAGAGAGACAGAGAGACAGAAAGTAAGAAATCACCCCCTAGGGAGGTGGACCACACTGCAATCCCTTCTCCTCCATTCTTGTCTTGGGATCTTGGGCATGCATGCACATGCGCCCAGTGTGTTTTAAGCTGCCAGGTCCAGGACTTGAACTGCAGTCGACTATGTGGGAGTCCAGCAATGTAACTATTACACCATCTGCTAGTCTCATCTTGGGCAACATTTCTTGTGTTGCCCTAGAAATGATTTCATCCGAAGGAAGGAGAAGTGCTAAGATCCACCATGGATCTGGATCCTGGCCTGATCACAGGCATGTTCACTTCTGAGGTCATTTTTTCATCTGTAAAATTAAGGCTTTTGGGACCCGCAGATGACGTAATGGTTACATCACTGGACCCCCCCCGCCCCCATGTAGTCAACAGCGTTTTGAGTCCCAGACCTGGCAGCTTTAAACTCATGCCGGGCGCGTGTGTGTGTGCCCAAGATTCCGAGAGGAGAATGGAGAAGGGATTGCGGAGTGGCCATCCCCCCTGGGGGGTGATTTCTCACTTTATCTCTCTGGTAAAAGCACACACCCTAAAGCAAAAATCTCTCAAAAAAAAATTAATAAAGCTTTCTCCTAAGATTATTGTGAGCTAGACGAGGTAATCTTAACGATAACACTGAGCTCTGCACTATTATAACCAGCCTGCTCAGGTCGACCCCTAGTGGCCATCAGCGAGCACTTACCACGTGCCAGGCACACTGTGCTTAGTGCTTCCTACACGTATTACTGAGTCCTCAGACAGTTCCATGGGGCAGATCCATGATTACGCCTACTTTCTACATGGGTGTGAGGAAGCAGTTAAACTAGATCTGTTTTAAGCCAGAGCATCCAACTGTTCCCCGAAGGCTTGCTCCAGGACAAGGTGAGAGAAAACCAGCTGGGTGCGCCTTGGGAGGCAGCCCACTGCGGACCCTGCACCTGCTCAACGAAGGCTGTGACAGCCAAGAGAAAAGGATAGGCTGAACTGCCTCAGCCAGGTACTGCCACCTGCCCTGTCCCCCTCCTGCAGGTCCTCATCAACCTGGCCTTGCTAGTGCAGGAGGCAGAGCTGCGGGGGAGTCCCTCATTGGCCATGTGGCTGGTCAATGGCTTCCAGCTACTCTATGTGGGTGATGCACTCTGGCATGAGGTGAGGCTGGACCGAGGAGGGGAGGGTGTCTGAGGACCTTGTGGGGAATACACCAGTGTGTCTGGTTCTGTTCCTGTAGGAGGCTGTCCTTACCACCATGGACATCACACATGATGGGTTTGGCTTCATGCTGGCCTTTGGGGACCTAGTGTGGGTACCCTTCACCTACAGCCTGCAAGCCCAGTTCCTGCTGTACCACCCGCAGCCCCTGAGGTTGCCCATGGCCTCCGTCATCTGCCTCATCAATGGTCAGTTAGGAGAGAACAGCAAGCTGGGCCCACAGTCCCCTCCCCCTTTTATGCATTCATTATTCAGCACCACTAGACAGGTGCTAAGGCCAGGGGCTGGGTATTGGTGTCCAGACTGTGGACAAGGGTGGATGATGGTCAGGGGGAAGCAAAGGCTGAGATGTCACCTCAGCCCTGACCACCCGTTCATGCTCTCCCCCTAGCTATCGGTTACTACATTTTCCGTGGGGCTAATTCCCAGAAAGACACCTTCCGAAAGAACCCTTCTGACCCCAGAGTGGCTGGTGAGCTGGTTTTCTGGAGGGCCATGGACAAGGTGGGGGCAGCTGGGCTTTCCGAAGGTGCCCTACCCTACTACTTTTCTCCCCCCAGACCTTGAGACCATCTCTACAGCCACAGGGAGGCAGCTGCTGGTGTCTGGGTGGTGGGGTATGGTCCGCCATCCCAACTACCTTGGAGACCTCATCATGGCCCTGGCATGGTCCTTGCCCTGTGGTAAGTGGCCTGGGTGGGTATGGATTGGGTTATGTGGGAGGCACAGGTGAAGTAGTGACCACAGGATGACCAGTCTGGGTGCATCCAGGGAGCTGGAGCTGGACCCCATGGCCCAGACAGACCTCTGTGACAGTTCAGGACTGCCAGTGTCTTGCTGCAGATCCTGAACCTCTCACCACTGAGTCCTGGTGACCATGTCAACACCACAGGGTGTAGAACTTTGTGAACTAAGGGGTGGCTGGTGGTCACAGAACCTCCTCTCTTCAGGAGTGTCCCATCTGCTACCCTACTTCTACCTCCTCTACTTCACTGCACTGCTGGTGCACCGTGAGGCCCGGGATGAGCAACAGTGCCTGCAGAAGTATGGCCGGGCCTGGCACGAGTATTGCCAGCGTGTGCCTTACCGCATCCTGCCCTACATCTACTGAAGCAGCTTTGCCCACCCATCCCTCAGCACACCCTGCACTGGGAGCCTGGGCACATCTGGACTCAACCAGCCCCTAAACCCTACCCCCAGCTCAGCCCTACCAGGCAGAGATGAACAGCCTCAGAGAAGAGGCAGTTTGGAACAAGGAGAAAAATGAAGCTGTTCCCCAAAATGGAGATGTTCTTCCTTTGGATAAATGTTCTGGAACTCTTAATATGACTCTCCCATTCTGGGGTTGGGATGTTTATGACTGGCTGGGTCATCCCTGATCAGTGAGATACTAGGAGATGCTTTGTGGGACAAGAGTCTTGGAGTGGGTGGGACCACAGGGCTCACTCAGAAACTGACACTGCTAACAGGGCGGACCAATCACAGCTTTATTGACAAGGGTTCCTAGTTCAGCCAGGAAGCTCCTCAATGAGAGTCCTTGGAGCAGGTGGCATAGGGCCTCCCCAAAGCCGCTCCAGCTCCCCGGTGAGGGCTGTCACCTCCTCAGCTGCCATGGCGTGGGCTCGGTGGGCTTTGGCACAGTCTAGAGCCAGGGGTGTGAGGACAGCCTCATTTTCATTTGTCCAGGCCAGCAGAAACTGGCACTTCTTCCGGGCCCGGTAGAGACGTTCTTGCTCTTCTCTAGCCACAGCCTGTTTACGAGCCCGCCCCAGGGTCTGTGCCAGGTGCCCCAGTGCTGCCAGCGTGTAGCCTTTCTGGTTGGCTGGGCTCTCACCCAGCAAGATGCGCGCAGCCTCATACATAGCACCCCGTGTACCCAGGGGACCAGGTGGGTGCTCGCCCGCTTCCAGCACGTGGGCTGCAGCCTGCAGAGCTTCATCCGCTGAGGCAAAGACTTGCTGGTTGCCCAGGGCTCCGGAAACACCTAGCAGGGTGGCACAGAAGTCGGAGAGCAGCGCGTCGTCCCCGCCGTGATACAGAGCGAGGGTGTGTGCATAAGCGAACAGCACGTTGGGCAGCTGGAACCGCACGAGCGGCGAGACCGGGCCGCGACTCAGGCTGGCCAGAGTTGGGATGCGGGTGGGCACTGAAGGCGTGCAGGCCCCTGGAGGGTCTCCAAGAACTGGCTCGGGGGCCAGGGGCTCAGCGGAGGCATCCTTTGCGGATTCCCGCCGGGTGCTAAAAGGGAAGGAAGGCTCCGCCTCCGCGGCGTCACTGCCTGGGGTATCATCCAGTTCCTCCAGAAGCGGTCCGTCCCGGCGGCCCCACCACCACGGCTGCCAGGGGGGCAGCAGCCGCCCCGCCTCTCCTCGGGTCAGCAACCGTTCGGAGGCCGCC